TATAATATTATATATGAGTTTAAAAAACTTAGAAATGTTCAAAACTTTCAGCAATGTGTCAGGATACATAATCAACTTACAAAATTTATTATTCTTTTTATATAACAATTGTAAGTGTGCTGAGTAAGAGATCATGAAAATATTTCCATTCACAATGGCTTCAAAAATATCTACAAATAAACCTTAAAATGAAAACTAAAATCTCAAATGAAATTGAGGAAGACACTAAAAATGGAAAGTTGTTCCATGCTTGTTGAAAGAGTTAATACTGTGAAAATGACTATCCTACAAAAAAATCAATTTACATATTCAGTGAAATCTCAATCAAAATCTTATGAAATTCTTCAAAGAAATATAATAGATTTTATATTGTTCAATTGAACTACAAAAGATCTTGGGAAGGCAAATAAATCTAAGCAAAAATAGCAATGCTAGAGAAAGCACCATACCAGATTGGTACATCAATTAAAAAATAGAAAACTCAGATGTTAGTGTATATAATTACAGCCATCTGATATTTGACAAAGATGCCAAAAACACACACAGCAAGGGAAGCAACTTCAACAAATGGTACTAGGAAAATTGAATATCCAAACATAGAAGAATTGAATCAGATGCATATATTTCACTCTGCATAAAAGATCAATTCCAAATAGACCAAAGACCTCAATGTAAAACCTGAAACACTGAAAAGGCTAGAAGGAAACGTTGAGAGTACCCTGCAAGATATAAGTGAAGAAAAGAACTTTTCTGACTAAGACTCCATTTGATAAATGGGAATTCATAAAAGGAAAAAAAAAACTTTTGCACTGCAAAGGAAAGAATCAATTTAGTAAAGAGGAAGCCCACAGAATGGGAGATAATCTTTGACAGCTACATATTTAATACAGGATACATACCTATAATGTACAAATTACTCAGAAAATCAATCAAGAAAAGAAATAACCAAATTAGGAAAAAATGGGCCATGGAAGAAATAAAAATGAATAAGAAATATCTTTGAAACGATTCATCATCTTTAGAATTTAGGGAAATTCAATTTAAAACTACTGTTATATTTCATCTTACCCCAGACAGAATGGCTAAGATGAAGAAAACAACTGAAAACAAATGCTGGAGATGTTGTGGGAAAGGGGAATGCTCATGGATTTTTGGTGAGATTGTAAAATAGTGCAGCCACTAAGAAAATCAGTTCTCAATAAATTAAAAATAGATGTACCATACCATACTTGGAAGGACTCAACAACCTACCTCAGAGACACCTCTCAGGCATGTTCATTGCCGTTTGATTCAAGACACCTAGGAAATGGTAAAACATAGGTGTCTTTCAACTGATGAATACATGAGAGAAATATGGTAAACATACAGAGTAGAATTCCATTCAGCTGCAATAAAAATGAAATTCTGAAATTTACAGTTAAGTGGACAGAGCTGAAGGTAATTATTCTGTGGAAGCCCAGACCCCAAACATAAATGTCATGTTACCTTTTTTTGTAAATTGTTTTTATTGAATTTTTGTGGATTTCATACAGAACATCTCAGTCTTTATTATCTTTATACCCTGTCCCCACTGGAAGCCTCCCATAGGTCCCCACCAGATTCTGTCATTTGTATTAAGGTCTATTGCGTCAAGCTACTGTCCCCAGATGTTCCTCAGTGAAAGTTCATCTATTGAGGTCATGTCAGCTTATCTAGAGTTCCTCACTTTAGGAAGATCAGCTCTTCCTCATCTATCAGTAATTTCTTCAGCTAAGATTGGGGTCTGTTGTCCTTTTCCCCAGTTCTATGCTGGTTTTTTTGTCTGCTTGTGTTTGTAAGGGGCTTGTTTATGCTGACACCATTGCTGTAGATTCATATGAGCAGGGTCGCAAGATTTTAGAGGACTCTATTTCCATATGGTTGTGCATCTCTTCCGTGGCTCATACAATCTTTCCAACCTCTCTTCTGCAATAGTCCCTGAGCCCTGGGTGGGTGAAGTTTAACATAGGAATCTTATCCATGAACCTACATTATTTAGAATATTAATCTCCATGCTTTGGCCATTTGTGACCTTTCATGTTCCTGGTAGTCTTTTGCCTGTGGGAGCTTCATTAATGAGAATTGAGAGATTCATTCATATCCTATTTACCCCTGTTCTATGTTCCATGAGCCTTAGATACAGCGATTTCATTGTGGATGTGTCATTTAGGCCTGGACAATTCATAGAAAATGTCTGTGTTTGACCAGAGACTTGGTGATAGTCTCTGTCTGGTACAAAAGAAATTTCTTTGATGAGTGGTGACTGAGATATTTGCATGTAAATTCCAGGATACATATTTTGCACATCGTAAGAAATTCCATTAGCCTAAGGATGTGACAGTCTTGGGGTTTTCTCTAAGATCTATGACCTCTCCAGCCACATATACTTAGTTATATTTACAGTACCACACTTGAGTTTCCTTTCACTGAGCTGGTTTTTAGTCCAATTATGTAGTTGTTGATTGCCCCCAAGATAAAAAGTGCACCAATGTTGTATGCTGTGCTGACCATTGATGTAGTTATTTGATCTTGAAGCTGGTGTTGGGCCATCAATTGAGGATTTCCCTTGGTACCTTTATAGTGCTCGCCAAAGCTATGAGAGCTAGCTTTCAGGCAAGGTGGTTTCCAGTTCAGTTCCAGCTCCATTTCTCCAAATCCTGTGTGCAAAGTATGTTCTGTCTTCAGCAGTAGGGTCTTACCTTCAAGTTCTGTGAAGCAATCAATGGCTGTGGCAATAGCGTGTGTCATTTTGGGAGTCTCACACACAGTTATTCTGAGTTTGACAAGTTGTGAAACTGTTATCGTCCCTTTTTATTAAAAAAAGAAATATAAGGATGCATATTTAGAGTACAGTTAATCTTTATGCTTTTAAGAAATCTTGATCAGATTGGGCTTAGTAAAACTAATATTATCTGCCTCTCCTAATGTCCTCAATTGTACCTTTTTGGCTATATAATGTAGCATGTTTACAGTTTACTGGCAATTAAGAAATGTCGTGAATATGTTTGGAAGGGAAAAGTCATCCAAGCAGATTTTGCAAAATGTTAACCAATAATAGTAAAATAATAACTTTCAATTCTTATTTTATTATTTTTATTTAAATTTTTCTTCAGCATATTTATAAATTTTGAGTTTCTCATACAATATCAATGAGAAAATATACATGCACATTCTTGATAAACTAATTCATGTTGTTATGATGATTGGACTATTGATAACATAATTATTGATGCTTAGACAGAATATTTAGTTTAAGAAATTTATTTTGATAAAAATAAATATTTCATGTTAACCTGTCTCTGCATGTCTATTACTCAATCATTCTTATTCATTATGTGCTTAAATATTGCCATTTAGTGTTTGTATTGATCAATTAATTTAATGTTCATATTTACTCATCAGTGCGTGATTCCTAAACATATTGATCACATTTGGTGTTTCACTGCAATTTTTGATCTGTTTAAGACAGAATCGCCCTGTAACCTCAGCAGGCCTAGAAATAGCTATGTAGGCTAGACTGGCCTCATTCTCATAGAGGTCTTCCTGCCTCTGCCTCTTGAGTGCTGGCATTAAAGGCATGCACCATTGAGCCCAGATCATTGCAACTTTTATAATGAAAAAATTTCAAACTCAGGAATGGAGAGATGGCTCAGTGGTTAAGAGCACTGGCTGTTCTTACAGAGAACCCAGGCTCAGTTCCTAGCACTCACATTGTGGTTGACAACCATCTGTAACTCCAGTTCCAGGGGAGCCAACAGCATCTTCTGACCTCCATGGGCATTGCACAACACAGGTGTACTTACATACATGCGGGCAACACACTCATACACATAAAATAAAAAATAAAATATTTGAGAAAAATCTTGAAGCTTATAACAGATACTATGAGTGCATATTAAGTATTTAAGTTTTATTCAGATTCCTTATTTAAATGTAAAAATCCTAAGCAATTGGCATTGGTAGACCTAATTTCATTTTCAAACTTCATTATTGAATCCTTTGATTTTCAAAATGTTATGTTGCTTGAAATCAGCATACATTTCTAAATCTTCATATGTCAAAATATATAGTTTTCTAATTTAGTTCTGTACAGAACTATGATACATAAGCCCTGTGTTACCATGTATAACACTTATTCCATACTTCTTAAGTATTTGTATTTTTGAATTATCCTTAATTACGTAGCAGTTTTACTCTTCAGACTTTGACATGAACTTTGTATCAGTCACATTTTCAATAATAGTTTTCACTACAAAGCTACATTTATGAAACTCCTCCTCTCTCCTTCTCTCTCTCTCTCTCTCTCTCTCTCTCTCTCTCTCTCTCTCTCTCTCCTCTCTGTCGTGTGTGTGCATGTGTGTGTGCTCTTTTTGAGTACAGAGGTTGATGGTGTGTGTCTCAATTGTTATCCACCTTATTTTTTGAGAATGGATCTCTTGTACTTGGAGATCACCATTTTGGACTAGACTGGCTAGCTACTGAACTCCAGAAACTGTCCTATCTCTATCCCTCCCAGAACTGGGGTTATAGACACATGCAAACACATGCTGGTGTGTGTGTTTGTATGTGTGTGTGTGTGTGCATTTGCGTTTGTGTTTCTGTGTGTGCGTGTGTGTGTGTGTGTGTGTGTGTGTGTGTGTGTGTAAGCTATGAATGTGAACTCAAGTCCTCATGTTTGCATAGGGCGCTTTACGTACTGCAGCATCTCCCCAGACCATTATTTATTATTGTTTTTTTAGGAACACAAGGCTAACTTCCATTCACCCACTTGTAGTCTTTTATTTGACTCTTGCAATGTCTTTTTAATTTTACAATAACAGAAGTATATATATTTTTATCTAATCACATGTACTGAAGACCAGGAGCTTTGCTGTACATACTCTCAAGATAAGTCAGAGGTGACTGTTTCAAATCATATTGGCAAAACTATCAAGAAAACTTTGGCACACACTTGAATTATTTCTTGTTTTATTTTGTGTCAGGAGAGGATCCCAGAGAGTCCTTCTCCTGCTCCATCTCTTGAAGAAAGTCATCGACCTGGAAGCCAGACCTCCTCCCACCCCAGCAGCAGTGTGTCCAGTTCTCCTTCTCAGATGGATCATCATTCAGAAAGAATGGGTGAGTATCTTGCCTGAATAAACTGATTAGATTATAATAATTGAGGCAGTTCCATGTTACAAAATTGTGGTGATAGAAAGAAGATGGAGAAACTGACAGTTACTCAATATAAATAGCTTTTGAATTTTTTGAAATTTTTGACATAATACAACCAACAAATTGAAAGTACCATTTTTTTTTATCTTTAAGGACTTCCATAAGTATATGTCTTGATCTCATGGTAACAATACATCAGATTTTTTGGTCAAGTGTATATTAATTAGATCAATATGTTGGCATGTAACATCTACTGTTATATAATAATTACATCATCTCTAAAATAATGTAGATAAAATATCCTTCAGGGAGATAATCACTTAAGAGTGATTAAAAAGTAAACCAGGACCTGGAGAGATGGCTCAGTGGTTAAGAGCACCAACTGCTCTTGCAGAGAATTCGGGTTCAATTCCCAGTACCCATGTGGTGACTAACAACCATCCACAACTATAATTACAGGGAAATCTGACTCCCACTTATGACCTTCTCGTGCATTCACAACACAGGTGCACTTAGATACATGCAAGCAATACACTCATACACATAAAAATGATTAAAAATTAAATCAACATGCACTATGCCATGATGGCAACAATTTTCATAAAAAGATGTTTATGAAACTTTTTTCTACCTCTTTGTCTCAGAAGTGTTACATTTTAGATATCGGCTGTGATAGAATTTCTATCAGACATTTGAATCTATCCATAGGTCTCTTATAGTAGCTATCTAAAAAATCTTGGGTATGACATTTAACCATTGTGATGTCCTTTGACTCTTATATGGGAATAAATATTTCCATATCTGTTACAGAAGATTACTGTGAGATCATATAACCTGACAATCCATGAATAAACACTTCAAAAAATCAATGTGCTAAAGAAATATGAAAAGATAGACACATTTTTTTCTATTTTTTAACTTTGATATTTTATCATTCTTGCTTTATAATTTTACTCTTGTATACAAATATTACTAGCAGAACTCAGCTATAATATATTCTCACTTAGTATATAATTACAGGTCAATCTTGCTTGGTAAATTTTTCATTACTCTTCTGTAGCCACACCATCCAATATCCTATGTTTACATTTCCTTTAATAATTTTTTTTCTGATTTTGTATCAGAATGTCTCTGGAGATGTTTAATGTACTTTAGATTTCTACAGTTCATATTAGTACTTGTTTTATCCTCTCCAAAACAAATTGATTTTAAGAGAAGGGTAGAAATTTAGGGGATTATGATGCATGTTCTATCCTGGATTTGTGTATTATGGAAGAATAAAGATAATTTCTCTTTTGTAGAAATTCTTCCAAGTCTAATTTAGCCTGTCAATGTAATACATTATTTGTGTTTCTAGTTTCACATAAGTCCAGTGATTCCTAACCAGTTTCTGTATCATAATCACCTGTGGAGTTTTTAATAACACACTTAGAATTTGATTCACTTGTTCTAGAACATAGCTGGAACAGCAATGTTTTGTTTTGCTTTTCAGTATGTCTTTAGCAGATTCTAAAGCACAGTTAGGTTTAAGCAATGATGAGTTCATGGTACTTAGAAACTAAGTTTACTTCCTGAAAGAGGTGACAGAGATCCTTTATCTTTCCCTTAGGTTATGAATTTAGAGTACCTGGTTTTAATAACCTTTACAACTGATTAAAAGGGATCTGAGCAAGAAAAAAAGCTAAAACTGGATGATTACTTTAAAGAAGTACACTCTGTAGCCCTGGCTGATCTGAAACTTGCTATGTAGACCAGGCTAGCTTCAGCTCACGGGGATCTGCCTGCCTCTGCTGGGACTAAAGGCAGGCAACACACACCAAAATTTATTATAACTAAATAAATTTTAAAGAATCAAGAAACTAGAGCACATGTAATTCTGTTGGGATAATATTTATATTAGCATATTAAAATATTTTAGTAATATTGAGAGAACAAATGAAAGATATCTAATGCACCTGTATCTATATTATCTTTATATATGTGAGAAAAAGAATTATTCAATGAGTTCTGGCTAGAAGTAAAATACATTTGGTAAAAGTTATAACATAAGAGGACAGGTCACTTATCTAAATCAAATATTTCCAGAACAGTGTATAGTTCTAGAAAAATTACTGGTAAATAGCAGATATCTAATTCCACTGACAGTAATTTGGCATTATATACACATT